CTATTTGACTCAGAATGGTTGCCTTACGTCGAAATCTAATAGTTTATTAAGGTTTTCGTTACTAAAATGCCCAAAGACGCCGATTTTGACTAGAATTTGAAAGATATTGACATGAATATATAACTGTTTGTATCAAAAAATGATAGTTTAAACTGATATTTGCAGTTTTGATGCGGTTTTAGGTACGATATGAGTCGAAGAAGCCAATTTTGACTGGAATCTGTTTAAAATGACAAAGAAAAACCTATTATCAATTCAAGGAAGTGAATTTTTAAGTAGTTATCTGCACTTTTAATGTAGATTTCAGTTCGCTAAGTTATGAAAATGCATGTTTTGGCTATAATCTTCCGTAAATCAAGGGCGAAAACCAATTATTTGTCCCAAAAGAAGGTGTTTTAAGTATATATCTGCATTTCTAAGGTAGATTTGGGTACAATAAGAGGCGAAAAAGCAGATTCTGACTAAGATTTTATCGAAATCGGCAACTATTTGACTCAGAAAGGTTGCCTTACGTCGAAATCTAATAGTTTATTAAGGTTTTCGTTACTAAAATGCCCAAAGACGCCGATTTTGACTAGAATTTGAAAGATATTGACATGAATATATAACTGTTTGTATCAAAAAATGATAGTTTAAACTGATATTTGCAGTTTTGATGCGGTTTTAGATACGATATGAATCGAAGAAGCCGATTTTGACTGGAATCTGTTTAAAATGACAAAGAAAAACCTATTATCAATTCAAGGAAGTGAATTTTTAAGTAGTTATCTGCAGTTTTAATGTAGATTTCAGTTCGCTAAGTTATGAAAATGCATGTTTTGGCTATAATCTTCCGTTAATCAAGGGCGAAAAACAATTATTTGTCCCAAAAGAAGGTGTTTTAAGTATATATCTGCATTTCTAAGGTAGATTTGGGTACAATAAGAGGCGAAAAAGCAGATTCTGACTAAGATTTTATCGAAATCGGCAACTATTTGACTCAGAATGGTTGCCTTACTTCGAAATCTAATAGTTTATTAAGGTTTTCGTTACTAAAATGCCCAAAGACGCCGATTTTGACTGGAATTTGAAAGATATTGACATGAATATATAACTGTTTGTATCAAAAAATGATAGTTTAAACTGATATTTGCAGTTTTGATGCGGTTTTAGGTACGATATGAGTCGAAGAAGCCGATTTTGACTGGAATCTGTTTAAAATGACAAAGAAAAACCTATTATCAATTCAAGGAAGTGAATTTTTAAGTAGTTATCTGCAGTTTTAATGTAGATTTCAGTTCGCTAAGTTATGAAAATGCATGTTTTGGCTATAATCTTCCGTAAATCAAGGGCGAAAACCAATTATTTGTCCCAAAAGAAGGTGTTTTAAGTATATATCTGCATTTCTAAGGTAGATTTGGGTACAATAAGAGGCGAAAAAGCAGATTCTGACTAAGATTTTATCGAAATCGGCAACTATTTGACTCAGAAAGGTTGCCTTACGTCGAAATCTAATAGTTTATTAAGGTTTTCGTTACTAAAATGCCCAAAGACGCCGATTTTGACTAGAATTTGAAAGATATTGACATGAATATATAACTGTTTGTATCAAAAAATGATAGTTTAAACTGATATTTGCAGTTTTGATGCGGGTTTAGGTACGATATGAATCGAAGAAGCCGATTTTGACTGGAATCTGTTTAAAATGACAAAGAAAAACCTATTATCAATTCAAGGAAGTGAATTTTTAAGTAGTTATCTGCAGTTTTAATGTAGATTTCAGTTCGCTAAGTTATGAAAATGCATGTTTTGGCTATAATCTTCCGTAAATCAAGGGCGAAAACCAATCATTTGTCCCAAAAGAAGGTGTTTTAAGTATATATCTGCATTTCTAAGGTAGATTTGGGTACAATAAAAGGCGAAAAAGCAGATTCTGACTAAGATTGTATCGAAATCGGCAACTATTTGACTCAGAATGGTTGCCTTACGTCGAAATCTAATAGTTTATTAAGGTTTTCGTTACTAAAATGCCCAAAGACGCCGATTTTGACTAGAATTTGAATGATATTGACATGAATATATAACTGTTTGTATCAAAAAATGATAGTTTAAACTGATATTTGCAGTTTTGATGCGGTTTTAGGTACGATATGAGTCGAAGAAGCCGATTTTGACTGGAATCTGTTTAAAATGACAAAGAAAAACCTATTATCAATTCAAGGAAGTGAATTTTTAAGTAGTTATCTGCAGTTTTAATGTAGATTTCAGTTCGCTAAGTTATGAAAATGCATGTTTTGGCTATAATCTTCCGTAAATCAAGGGCGAAAACCAATTATTTGTCCCAAAAGAAGGTGTTTTAAGTATATATCTGCATTTCTAAGGTAGATTTGGGTACAATAAGAGGCGAAAAAGCAGATTCTGGCTAAGATTTTATCGAAATCGGCAACTATTTGACTCAGAAAGGTTGCCTTACGTCGAAATCTAATAGTTTATTAAGGTTTTCGTTACTAAAATGCCCAAAGACGCCGATTTTGACTAGAATTTGAAAGATATTGACATGAATATATAACTGTTTGTATCAAAAAATGATAGTTTAAACTGATATTTGCAGTTTTGATGCGGGTTTAGGTACGATATGAATCGAAGAAGCCGATTTCGACTGGATTCTGTTTAAAATGACAAAGAAAAACCTATTATCAATTCAAGGAAGTGAATTTTTAAGTAGTTATCTGCAGTTTTAATGTAGATTTCAGTTCGCTAAGTTATGAAAATGCATGTTTTGGCTATAATCTTCCGTAAATCAAGGGCGAAAACCAATTATTTGTCCCAAAAGAAGATGTTTTAAGTATATATATCTGCATTTCTAAGGTAGATTTGGGTACAATAAAAGGCGAAAAAGCAGATTCTGACTAAGATTGTATCGAAATCGGCAACTATTTGACTCAGAATGGTTGCCTTACGTCGAAATCTAATAGTTTATTAAGGTTTTCGTTACTAAAATGCCCAAAGACGCCGATTTTGACTAGAATTTGAATGATATTGACATGAATATATAACTGTTTGTATCAAAAAATGATAGTTTAAACTGATATTTGCAGTTTTGATGCGGTTTTAGGTACGATATGAGTCGAAGAAGCCGATTTTGACTGGAATCTGTTTAAAATGACAAAGAAAAACCTATTATCAATTCAAGGAATTGAATTTTTAAGTAGTTATCTGCAGTTTTAATGTAGATTTCAGTTCGCTAAGGTATGAAAATGCATGTTTTGGCTATAATCTTCCGTAAATCAAGGGCGAAAACCAATTATTTGTCCCAAAAGAAGGTGTTTTAATTATATATCTGCATTTCTAAGGTAGATTTGGGTACAATAAGTGGCGAAAAAGCAGATTCTGACTAAGATTTTATCGAAATCGGCAACTATTTGACTCAGAAAGGTTGCCTTACGTCGAAATCTAATAGTTTATTTAGGTTTTCGTTACTAAATTGCCCAAAGACGCCGATTTTGACTAGAATTTGAAAGATATTGACATAAATATATAACTGTTTGTATCAAAAAATGATAGTTTAAACTGATATTTGCAGTTTTGATGCGGTTTTAGATACGATATGAATCGAAGAAGCCGATTTTGACTGGAATCTGTTTAAAATGACAAAGAAAAACCTATTATCAATTCAAGGAACTGAATTTTTAAGTAGTTATCTGCAGTTTTAATGTAGATTTCAGTTCGCTAAGTTATGAAAATGCATGTTTTGGCTATAATCTTCCGTAAATCAAGGGCGAAAACCAATTATTTGTCCTAAAAGAAGGTGTTTTAAGTATATATCTGCATTTCTAAGGTAGATTTGGGTACAATAAGAGGCGAAAAAGCAGATTCTGACTAAGATTTTATCGAAATCGGCAACTATTTGACTCAGAAAGGTTGCCTTACGTCGAAATCTAATAGTTTATTATGGTTTTCGTTACTAAAATGCCCAAAGACGCCGATTTTGACTAGAATTTGAAAGATATTGACATGAATATATAACTGTTTGTATCAAAAAATGATAGTTTAAACTGATATTTGCAGTTTTGATGCGGTTTTAGATACGATATGAATCGAAGAAGCCGATTTTGACTGGAATCTGTTTAAGATGACAAAGAAAAACCTATTATCAATTCAAGGAAGTGAATTTTTAAGTAGTTATCTGTAGTTTTAATGTAGATTTCAGTTCGCTAAGTTATGAAAATGCATGTTTTGGCTATAATCTTCCGTAAATCAAGGGCGAAAACCAATTATTTGTCCCAAAAGAAGGTGTTTTAAGTATATATCTGCATTTCTAAGGTAGATTTGGGTACAATAAGAGGCGAAAAAGCAGATTCTGACTAAGATTTTATCGAAATCGGCAACTATTTGACTCAGAATGGTTGCCTTACGTCGAAATCTAATAGTTTATTATGGTTTTCGTTACTAAAATGCCCAAAGACGCCGATTTTGACTAGAATTTGAAAGATATTGACATGAATATATAACTGTTTGTATCAAAAAATGATAGTTTAAACTGATATTTGCAGTTTTGATGCGGTTTTAGGTACGATATGAGTCGAAGAAGCCGATTTTGACTGGAATCTGTTTAAAATGACAAAAAAAACCTATTATCAATTCAAGGAAGTGAATTTTTAAGTAGTTATCTGCAGTTTTAATGTAGATTTCAGTTCGCTAAGTTATGAAAATGCATGTTTTGGCTATAATCTTCCGTAAATCAAGGGCGAAAACCAATTATTTGTCCCAAAAGAAGGTGTTTTAAGTATATATCTGCATTTCTAACGTAGATTTGGGTACAATAAGAGGCGAAAAAGCAGATTCTGACTAAGATTTTATCGAAATCGGCAACTATTTGACTCAGAATGGTTGCCTTACGTCGAAATCTAATAGTTTATTAAGGTTTTCGTTACTAGAGTGCCCAAAGACGCCGATTTTGACTAGAATTTGAAAGATATTGACATGAATATATAACTGTTTGTATCATGCTCGCGATGTATCTAGGGAACGGCCGCTCCGATCGGGATGAAACTTGGCGTGTCGGCGGAGGGGGCGGCCGCGATTTCGGCGCCGGGAGCGGAACCGCCCCCGACCTCGGGGGGCGGAGTTACCGCCCCCGAAAGAACTTTTTTCCGGAAAATGGCGGAAACGATGTCAGATCCGGGTAAAACGGGGTCGGAAACCGTCCCTTTGGGACGGAAATTCGCTCCGTTTCTCGCTACGACGAACCGTTTCCGAGATACGGCGGTTTTTTTGAAAAATTTTCAAAATTTTCAAATCGTCGTATCTCGGAAACGGTGCGTCGGAGGCGAAAAATAAGCGAATTTTCGTACCGGCCTCGGCCTCATTGATTACAGGGACCGGCCGACTCGGCGTGGGGAATCGACTGGCAAAGTCTCAACCCCCCCCTCCGAAATTTACCCCCTCGAATTTTGTAATTTTTGAAAAAAAAAATCGGAGAAAATGCCTTCTAAGGGTAAAGGGGGGTGAGAAGCGACCCTTGTGGGGCGAAAATTTCGTGCGTTTTTCGATCCGACGAGCCGTTTTCGAGATTTCGACATTTTCGAAAAATTTTCGAAAAAGGGCCGTATCTCGGAAACGGTGCGTCGGAGGCGAAAAATAAGCGAATTTTCGTACCGGCCTCAGCTTTATTAACTAGGTGGACCGGCGAACTCGGCGTGGGGAATCGACTGGCAAAGTATCAAATTCAAATTTTACCCCCTCGAATTTTGTAATTTTTGAAAAAAAAAAAATCGGAGAAAATGTCTTCTAAGGGTAAAGGGGGTGAGAAGCGACCCCTTTGGGGTGAAAATTTTGTCCTTTTTTTGATTGGACGAACCGTTTTCGAGTTATGGCCATTTTAAAATCGAAAAAAAAAAAACGAAAAAGAGCCGTATCTCGGTAACGGTGCGTCGGAGGCGAAAAATAAGCGAATTTTCGTACCGAGCTCAATATAACGCGCGTAGAGTTCAAGTTTTAAATTTTAAATCGAGGTAGGCTCGCAATACTCTATAGGATGCCGGCGGGGGTACCAAAATCAAGAAAATGGGGAAACCGATACCGGATTCCCGTAAAATGGGGTGGTAAACCGTCCCCTATGGGGCAAAAAATTGCTCGGTTTTCTCAAAAAACGAACCGTTTTCGAGATATAGCCATTTTAAAATCGAAAAAAAAATTTCGAAAAAGGGCCGTATCTCGGTAAGGGTGCGTCGGAGGCGAAAAATAAGCGAATTTTCGTACCGAGCTCGATATAACGCGCGTAGAGTGGTGCGGATTCGTAACCGCTATAGCCTGGTAGGTTTCCGACGTTCCTCCTATCCATTCAAGTTTTAAATTTTAAATCGAGGTAGGCTGGCAATACTCTATACGATGCCGGCGGGGGTACCAAAATCAAGAAAATGGGGAAACCGATACCGGATTCCCGTAAAATTTGGTGGTAAAGCGTCCCCTATGGGGCAAAAAATTGCTCGGTTTTCTCAAAAAACGAACCGTTTTCGAGATATAGCCATTTTAAAGTCGAAAAAAAAATTTCGAGAAAGGGCCGTATCTCGGTAAGGGTTCGTCGGAGGCGAAAAATAAGCGAATTTTCGTACCGAGCTCAATATAACGCGCGTAGAGTGGTGCGGATTCGTAACCACTATAGCCTGGTAGGTTTCCGACGTTCCTCCTATCCATTCAAGTTTTAAATTTTAAATCGAGGTAGGCTCGCAATACTCTATACGATGCCGGCGGGGGTACCAAAATCAAGAAAATGGGGAAACTGACACCGGATTCCCGTAAAATGGGGTCGTAAACCGTCCCTATAAGGGCAAAAAATTACTCCGTTTTCCCAAAAAACGAATCGTTTTCGAGTTATGGCCATTTTAAAATCGAAAAAAAAAAATTAGAAAAAGGGCCGTATCTCGGTAAGGGTTCGTCGGAGGCGAAAAATAAGCGAATTTTCGTACCGAGCTTAATATAACGAGCGTAGAGTGGTGCGGATTCGTAACCACTATAGCCTGGTAGGTTTCCGACGTTCCTCCTATCCATTCAAGTTTTAAATTTTAAATCGAGGTAGGCTCGCAATACTCTATACGATGCCGGCGGGGGTACCAAAATCAAGAAAATGGGGAAACCGATACATGAAAACAATGTAATGTCCTAATATTTCAAATGGCACATCAAAAGAAATAGTTCTACTTTCAAACAGATTTAGCCCTGGTCTGTCAATTAAGGCGCCTGACGAGAAATCAGATTCTCCATGGCAGCGTAGGTTCGAAACCTACCTACTGCAAACGGAAATTGTTTTGCATGAAATATAATTTTTGTAATTAGCAGCTCAGTCCAGAAAATTTTGTCAATTATAGGGATTAAGTTCGAAACCTACCTACTGCAAACGGCCATTGTTTTGCTTGAAATATATATTTTTTAATTAACAGCTCAGCCCAGAATTTTTTTCAAATATCAAGATTGAGTACATAAATTTCTAAAAATATAATGGCCTTATATTTCAACGCATGGCACATCACCAGAAATAGTTCGACTTTCAAACAGATTTAGCCTTGGTCTATTGGTTAATTCGAGTGACTAGACATCAGATTCTCGATGGCAGTGTAGGTTCGAAACCTACTTACTGCAAACGGAAATTGTTTTGTTTGAAATATAATTTTTGTAATTAGCAGCTCAGTCCAGAAAATTTTGTCAATTATGGGGATTGAGTTCGAAACCTACCTACTGCAAACGGCCATTGTTTTGCTTGAAATATATATCTTTTAATTAACAGCTCAGCCCAGAAATTTTTCTCAAATATGGGGATTGAGTACATAAATTTATAAAAATATAATGGACTTATATTTCAACGCATGGCACATCACCAGAAATAGTTCGACTTTCAAACAGATTTAGCCTTGGTCTGTCGGTTAAGGCGTCTGACTAGAAATCAGATTCTCCATGGCAGCGTAGGTAGGTATCGGAGTAGGTGTGATGGTGTAAAAACAGAGTTACGCAACCCGCGCATAATTTTACGTAGGAAATAATTTAAAGGCATCCGGCATATTTTTAAAAAATTAAATTTAAAATTATAAAGCCAAAGATGTAAAAACATTAGCAAATTTAAATCGAAATACTCATTTACCGCGGGGAACAATATCGCGACGTCCTGTATACAATTTAAATTCAAAGAAGAAAATAAAAATAACAAAAACGAAAGTATCGTTGACTTAAAAGAAGCGATATAATAACGAAACACATACAACCAATGTAAAGAAAATGGGACAACCTGTATGTGATTAAAAGCAAACTACCTTTTCGGAGTACGTGTGATGGTGTGAAAACAGAGTTACCCAACCCGCGCATGATTTTACGTAGGAAATAATTTAAGGACATCCGGTATATTTTTAAAAAACTAAATTTAAAATTATGAAGCCAGAGATGCAAAAACTTTAACAAAATTAAATCGAAATACTCATTTGCCGCGGTGAACAATATCGCGACGTCCTGTATACAATTTAAATTGAAAGAAGGAAATAAAAATAACCAACACGAAAATATCGTTCGCTCGAAACAAACGAAATAATAACGTAACACATAGAACCAATGTAAAAAAAATGGGACAACCTGTATGTGATTAAAAGCAAACTACCATATCGAAGAACGTGTGATGGTGTAAAAACAGAGTTACGCAACCCGCGCATGATTTTAGGTAGGAAATAATTTAAGGACATCCGGTATATTTTTAAAAAATTAAATTTAAAATTATAAAGCCAGAGATGCAAAAACATTAGCAAATTTAAATCGAAATACTCATTTACCGCGGGGAACAATATCGCGACGTCCTGTATACAATTTAAATTCAAAGAAGGAAATAAAAATAACGAAAACGAAAGTATCGTTGACTCAAAAGAAGCGATATAATAACGTAACACATAGAACCAATGTAAAGAAAATGGGACAACCTGTATCTGATTAGATGCAAACATTTTTATCTGAGTATGTGTAATCGTGTGAAAACAGAGTTACGCAACCCGCGTATGATTTTACATAGGAAATAATTTAAGGATAACCGGTATATTTTTAAAAAATTGGACATGACGCTAGAGATGTAAAAACCAATGCAAAGAAAAAAAAACACTAAAATATATTAGCGATAGATAGTCGCAACTCGAAAACTTTTTCTTCATGTCCGGGTAGGAGCACATAGCAATAGAAATATATTTAATTACCTTAAAAAAAGAAAATCAATCACAATTAACTTTCTCGGGTGCACTTTTAAAACAAACTAAATGCAAATCTCGATGAAGATCATCCCACCTACATTGTCACCCCCACCAATTATTTAATATTTCGCGCCTAGGATAACGATCGCTAAGATCGTCGAACGTTGCCACGTTGAGCGCAAAACGTAGTTATTAAAAATGATGCGAGTTAATTTTTGTCTTTACCAATTATGAGAATCGTCGAAATCTATCTGGAAACACTTTCAACTGCATCCCGTCTCTTTTCGTTGAATTGAAATTGATCTTTTTTTCAATAAAAATCGATATAAATCACAATGCAGGGATGCTTCTGGCAACAGTGTCACCCCATCAACTTTTATAACGGTTTTCTGTCCGTCGATCGTAAATCATTTTTTCGCGGGTAAAATAACGGCTGTTAGAGAATCGTCGGACGTTGCCATATTTAAGAGATGCAAAAATCACGAAAATAATCGATCGATTTTAATAAGGGAAAAATGAAAGCCTACCTCGCTTTAAAATTTCAAACTTGAATGGATAGGAGGAACGTCGGAAGCCTACCAAACTATAGTGGTTACGAAACCGTACCACTTTACGCGCGTTATGATAAACTCGGGACGAAAATTCGCTTATTTTTCGCCTCCGACGCACCGTTTCCGAGATACGGCCCTTTTTCGAATTTTTTTTTTCCATTTTAAAATGGCTATAGCTCGAAAACGGTTCGTTTTTTGGGAAAACCGAGCAATTTTTTGCCCCATAGGGGACGCTTTACCATCCCATTTTACGGGAATCCGGTATCGGTTTCCCCATTTTCTTGATTTTGGTACCCCCGCCGGCATCGTATAGAGTATTGCGAGCCTACCTCGATTTAAAATTTAAAACTTGAATGGATAGGAGGAACGTCGGAAACCTACCAGGCTATAGTGGTTACGAATCCGCACCACTCTACGCGCGTTATATTGAGCTCGGTACGAAAAAAATTTTACGGGAATCCGGTGTCAGTTTC